AATAAACCCACTACATATATTGGTTTTGTTACAATCACGCTCTCCCATAAACTTACCTGTCACCTTTTTGATCTTAATTCCATTAAGCAACATTTCTTACAAAACATAGTTATGTATATAATATTAGACAGATATTAGTTGATAATACAATGATACACACACATACACAGTAAAAAGAACCTTGAGATATTGGAGGCCATCTGCATTAAAAGAAAGCAACCCACACTCAACAAAATTACATTTCAAACCAGTCACAACATATTACAATGCATTTAAACACATATTTCTGTTGATAACATTTCTTTCTCTCAGGTGGTCATGTATGACATCATAAAACCACATTACAAATTTACGAGCTGCGTCTGCTATTCCATGACCATTATCATCACATAGGAAACTTTGATGGTGAACATCTCTGTTGTAATGTCTATATAATGACTGCTTGTGTGAGCTGAAAACTTAGATGAAGGAACAGCATAATAAAAAAATATCCAAATGTTGGACAGTTTTTGTCTTTATTTTCTCCCGAAACTAAAGTCACTATACAAAGATTAGAACGGCTTATAATCAAACATAATAGACATTTGTTGTCTGTTATATTTAATAATATATGTTTGAAAATATATATATATAATTAAACCTAAAGAGCCAGACAAATCTACCAAGGTTTCACCTACGTGGATCGTCAGCCTTCCCTGATGATCCACGTAGGTGAAACCTTGGTAGGTTTGTCTGGCTCTTTAGGTTTAACTAGGTCTGCTCTACTTTGCGTATTGAGCACTTTATTTAGTTATTTTGCTTACTTTTATCGGGGTTTTTTTATTTGGACTTGGATGCGAGACAGTTATTTTCAGCTGACGTACATGTTCTTTGTTCTTTCTTTTTTTTCCCTTTGGTATTAGTTTGATTATTTGCAAATCAAGACACCGAAGGTTTTCCCAACGAGTATAATTTCTTATATTTAAAAGATTATTACTAGTGTGTGTGTGTGTGTGTGTGTGTATATATATATATATATATATATATATATATATATATATATATATATATATATATTGAATACACATAATATCCAACATTGATAACAGTCTGACTGTATCCAGCACCCGAAGATGCAAGTTTGCATGAAACTCTGAGTCATGCTATCAACGTTGGATATTATGTGTATTCACTAATATATACTTAATAGCTCTGTTAAGTAACATTGAGGAGAGGACTGTATTGATAACACCTGCTAAATATATATGTACATGCAAGTATGTATGTATATTTTTTAACATACCCACACATTTGTGTGTGTGTGTGTACGTGCATCACATTCAGTTGCAACATGGGCATGCAGATAAATATCTACCATGATCCTTGAGAAAGGTATAGCAGTTGCACATACAGTCAAATAGAACAACACTTGAGATATGCTGTAGTTGTTTCATGGATCCAAGATGCACACTGTTATCTTCAAGTGTTGACTTAGTGTGAAGTGGGTGTTGAGAGCTGCTTGACTGAAATGTTTGAATCAATTTCAACTGAAGTTTTGACTGACATATTAACCAACAATTTGAAAGTTTTGAGAAGATGTGCTCATTTTTCAGAATGAAACAAGCGAAATCTTAAAGACTGGGGTGAAAAGTAAGTCAGAGTTACAAATCAAGTCAGGATTAGACAGTGCCTCCAAATAAGGAGTGAAAATCAAGTCAGGATTAGACAGTGCCTCCAAATAAGGAGTGAAAATCAAGTCAGGATTAGACAGTGCCTCCAAATAAGGAGTGAAAAACAAGTCAGGATTAGACAGTGCCTCCAAATAAGGAGGAAAAAAACAAGTCAGGATTAGACAGTGCCTCCAAATAAGGAGTGAAAATCAAGTCAGGATTAGACAGTGCCTCCAAATAAGGAGTGAAAAACAAGTCAGGATTAGACAGTGCCTCCAAATAAGGAGTGAAAAACAAGTCAGGATTAGACAGTGCCTCCAAATAAGGAGTGAAAAACAAGTCAGGATTAGACAGTGCCTCTATATTTCAGACTAAAATTTCACCAGTACTATAATTTACTTCCAAATTATAATCTACATTTCCTTAAATGTCAATAATATATGTTTGGTTAAAATAATCTTAGAAATTTTGCAAAAGAAGCATTGAAATAACACACACCAATTCTTAAAAGTTTCTCTTGAAATGTGTAACATATTTTACAAGCATACACTCAGAAATCACAGCCCTACGGACCCATCCCTGATATTTATACAATCTTGAACAAATGGAGAATGTGCTTTGCAGGACACAGCTGGCAAGCAAAACAAGAACTCACAAGTGATCTACTGCTCTGGACACCTAGCCATGGAGCAAGACGGGTGGATCTCCCAGCAACCACCTACATTGACCAGCTACATTATGACATAATGGTACCCTAATGACCTTCTGACCATGGTGCCTGTCCATTATGGTTAGCATGATAGACTCATGAATGTCCAAGGTAGTTTGACCAAATAATAAAATTAACAAAAAATAACAAGCATACAAACAGAAAAGTAGACATCAGGTGGGATAACAAAGTTCAGGTAAGGAGGAAAGCATAACTAAGTGACTTAATTTGAGAAAACATACTTGAAGGTAATCAATATTTGATTAACTCCTTTCCAACCAATTATTTTGGGAAAAACATTTCATTTTCAGACACATATTTTTATTTGTTTGGGAAGACTAAGAAACTGAGGTACCTTGAATTACCCGAACGGTGGCTAACACCTCTACCAGATGTACGAGTTGACAATTGGACTTGTTTCAAGCTCAGAAGGGCATAAAAAAGAATCAAGATCGACATATAAACACGCCTGTAGCTGGTTTGGCCATTATTCATCTCTGTCTGAAAAAGACACTTTTGGTAAAAACGTATATGCTGGGCAAGAAGTTAAAAGAGTTTAATGTTCAAATGCATGTAAAACATTCTTCAGTGTAACACCTTCCCCACCACTTATTTTGGAAAAAACGTTTCATTTTCAGACAAATTTTATTATTTTTTTTTAATATAGTAACTGAAGCACCTTGAAGTACCTGAGCAATGACTAACACCTCTACCAAACATTCAAGTTGACAATTGGACTTATTTCAAGCTCAGAAAGACATAAAAAGAATCAAGATCAACGTCTGTAGCTTGTTTTCGGACATTATATTTTGAACATGTTTATTCATCTGTGTCTGAAAGAAAAAAACACTTTTGGTAAAAACGTATATACCCATCTACCCCAGAGAAAAGGTTAACAAACAGAGGTGATAAATTTAATCAATATTGAAATACTTATGTTTTTGACAAATAAATACGAAGTAAGTAATAATAAAATAGTGAAAGAAAACAATTATCTTCAAGCATTATTGTGTTCACTTTTTTTTTTCACCTCCACTGTTTTTTGTTATGCCAAGTGAGGGAACTGAAGTTCAATGTAATTGTCAGTTTTGCATCCATCGGATTCTTTTTTTTTTTGTGCCACGTCCCTTAAGAGCAGAAATAATCTTTGCAGCTCTTACCAAGTTTGCGAAAGTTTGTGTTGGTTCAATACCAGAATGGGAATGACTGCAAAACACTTTCCCCCTCTCCAATTTATAGGCAGAAGCACACAAATGCATGCTGGGATTTCTTCCTATCCAATAAGGCCAGTTCTCAGTTTCAATCACGGCCTGTCATGTTTTGAAGTCAGAACACTATGATTCTTCTTTTTTCTATATGTCATATCACTTAAGGCCATAGGTAATCATGACTATCCATAACTTCCTGTACTTGTAGCTTGTATTAATTCTGTCTAACTTTGTGTTGTTTTCAATCCCACAATGGGAATATAACCCAATCTGCCAGGAGGCTTGGTTTACTGTGTCATACTAGACAATTTTTTCTCTCCAGAGTATACCTTACATATCTGTAAGTTCACCATTCGTCCATGCTTAGAATATTGGTGTCGTGTATGGTTAGGTGCTACTTCTATCCATCTAGATCTCCTTGATAAAATCCAAAGAAGAATCAGCAATATTATTGATCCCAACCTGGCATCTCAGCTTCAGCCACTTTCATACTGCCATATTTGCCTCCCTTTGCCTTTTCTATAAATACTTTTATGGTAAATTGTTCAGATGAGCTATTCGCTATGGTGCCTAGACTTTTTGAATTTACGCTCAGTACTCGACTGTAAAATTTTCATGTGTACTGCTAGTTTAAATTTTGTTGGTAGAATCCTTGGGGGAATGACTGTAATATACTTCCCCAACTCCCCAATTTATAAGCAGAAGCACACAAATGCATGTTGGGATTTTTCCTAGCCAATAAGATAACTCAGTCCCAGTATTGCTTTGAAGTCAGAACGCTACATTTACTTATCCAAATGTGCTCTTGTGTATCAACTCCAATCCTTAGTTTTTGCCATGTTACTGTTAATTTGCTTTGCATATATTGTTTGCTTGCTTTATATTACTTTTTACCTTGTTCTTTTTTCTTATCTTGTTATTGTTTATTACAAACTTTGTCAATTCTGTTTGTTGGGCAGTCCTGTCATTTATTTATATTTAACAATGGCAACTAAACTCTACACTATCTTTTATCTATCTACCAAACTCATTAGTTAGGAAATTCACTGCTTTTTTCTGTTCCTTGATATATCCTGTGAGTGTCAATTTCTCTAAGCCCCCTTTCCTCATTATGTGACCTATAAATTTCAACTCTCCCTTTCTGACTAAGCATAAGCATTTTTGTTTCTGTTTTCCCCAAGAATTGTGGTTGCAGATGTGTTCTATTCATGGTATTCTCAGCATCCTTCTGTAGAACTACATTTCTTTTGACGAAAGTCTCTTCTTCATTCTTGAGGAGATTATCCAGTATTCACGACTATGTCAGAGGACTGATACTACATAACAGTTTAATACTCTTTTTATTGTTCCTAACAAACATTGGTTTTAAAAACAGGATGCATGAAATAAGTCTTAGAAAATAATTAAAACTAAACAAACAGTAAAAATAATTACATGGTAGGAAGATGAAATAGGACTAGTCTGTGATGGAAAGCCCTGAGACCTTGAAGTCGACAGCATGTCTGAGATCACTGCAAAAAAAAAAAAAAAAATAATTAAATGCAGACAAAATAAAGAAATAAACAAGTGATTTTTATTATGGGTGTGATGGGTAAATAGATGCCACATTATATTTTTAATTTTGTGCATGTTGGGCAGTTTTATTGAAATAATTTACTCTTTAGTATTTCAAAATACTTTTGTGTAATTTTGGCAAATGTTAAAATGAGATGTCAATGTTATTTTCATTTTTGCGTAATTTAGACAATAATTTATCCACTGTACCTTGTACATAAAAAGGTTAAATAAATAAAAAAAAAACAATTACCTTATTTGATATCTTAAAAGACACACCTTTTACTCCCTCACACCAAATATTTGTTGTAATAGTAATAGCCAATTACTCATATCTGTGCACAACTGTTTGGGTATCTAGCCAATCCCTATTGCAGATGCCTGCTCAGGTACATTTGTATTTGATCAACACCCACAGTACCCACCTGTGATTTATATGGCAAATATGCTGAGCAGGTCTTAGTTATAGTTTCTGGGAGAAATCACATAATCTGGTGTGACCAACAGTCAACACAAAGCACAAACTCTCAGTCACAGACACTTTAGATTCTTGAATCCATTATATCATATTTATTATAAAACCCAGGTTGTGTGTGTTTGTGTGTGTGTGTGTGTGTGTGTGTGTGTCTGTTCATTTATATATTGGATCAGATTTCATACATTTTTCAACCGATTTCAACAAAACTTCACAGGACTATGTAAAATTAACTTGCGGTGGTTCTGACAGCGCCAACAATTGGAAAAACACAATTGTTTTTGCACAAAATCAATTTGAAAACATGATTAAGAGGCATCGCTGTCACGAGAATGAAAGGGGGACAACTCATATCGAGTTATACTTATTATAAAACCCAAGTTGTTTGTGTGTGTGTTTGTGTGTTCATTTATATATGGGATCAGATTTCCTACATTTTCCAACCGATTTCATCAAAACTTCACTTTTTTTTTGGCAGGTAGAGTTTCTTATTGTCTTGCACACTTTTTTCTTTATTTTTACATTCAGAATGCTTTAAAAATTCCATTTACAAGGCAATTGTTTATAATAAAATTCTATTCAATCGGTAGACTCATAATGATTGAAAACAATGTTTTTGTTTGAGTTTGGGTTTGACCAATTTGTAAAAAAACAAAACAAAAAACTAATTAAGACATGAATGTCCGTCAACCTTAAACAATAATCTTTGTCAATTTTATTATTTAGTCTTTATGATGACCAATACTTGATCTATCTCTTACTGTTACATCCCCGGGCAACGCCAGACTCTACTGCTAGTATTGCATAAGAATATTTTTTTTATTTTTGCAAATGAATATTGTAATAAGAATTTTGGTAATAAATATGAAAAGACTTCCCCAAATACAACTTGCATAAAAATGAATTGTAATTAACTTTCTTCTTAAAAATATTTTGTAGCACTTTTCCAAATATAAAATATACAGGAATCTTATATAACAGTTATCCAGTTATATAACAATGATTTTTCCAGAAACAACTTTTATAAAAAGTAGATGTCATGTTTTCCTTAAAAATAAGACTTTTACAAGTATAAATCATACAAAAATAGACTATAAACTTATATTCTTTTATAAAGGCCAATCTCCTTTCAGAACTGCAAAATCTTAGTTCGGTATTTTTAAACAGTTTCAGGTCAGCATGATAGGGTAATTGCTCATTCTTCCCTATGGTATGACACCACAATCTAGCACCAGCCATTTCTGTTGGGTCACCAGATTTAATCCAAGGCCTAACCACATCCCCTACTTCAATGATTCTCTCATAAAAAAAAAATGGGGGAGAAAATTATTGAAATAACTTTTGTAGATTAGCATTCTTTAGCCTTTTCTTAGATTGCAACACTCATTAGAATCTGTCTGTATCTCTGAGAAGAGGTATGGCATGTGGAACTAGAACCATCTACCCCCGTGGACAAAATAAAGTGCACGGTTTGAAATTCCAATCACGTGAAACATTGTGAATATGGCAATGAAGATGTGGATAACAGTCCGAATAATGTAAATAATGAAAATACTCATTAGAATGTTAGACAATATCAATTACATAAAGTTACTTTCAAATGTGTGTAAATAAAACTGTCTCATTTGGCATAACTCTTCAAAGTCAGTGTTCAGTTTTATATTGTATGTCTATTATGAACAGGACACCCCCTTTTTAAATAGATAACTAATCAATATTTTTGGTTCTGAGAAGTGCCATAACCTAAAGGTCAAAAAAAAAAATTACCCCCCACTTTAAAAAAAAAAAAACAAAAAAAAAAAAAAACAAGAGGATCAGTAAGTTAATGCCCACCAATCTTCCAATTGAAGAAAGTTTTTTTTATTTTGAAACGGTTTTGCTTTTTGGCTTATCAACCATTTGTGGTTTATTTAAAGTTAAAACATATTTTTGAAATATACAAGATTAATGCCATCACGACCAAACTGGTCAAGTAAATGTTGTATACACAATTTTGGGAATAAATATAAATTACATAACATTTTTTTTTTTTATTCACATACAACTTGCATAAAGAAAAATTGTAATAAACATTTTTGTTAAAAATAGATTTTATCATATTCAATATAGAGGGGGGGAATGGCAGAAGACAGAATAGAAGTGAGTCAAAATATTCTCACTCTGAATTGGCTCCAATGTGTCCATATAGTCATCCAAATTTGGTTGGAGCTGTGTAAGAACTGGCTGAATAAGCTCAGCATAGCCTGTTTGACCTGTTAACAAAGAAAGAATACGTGCATAAACAAAGTTGTATAAAACATGACAGAAGGAAATTTATGTAGCATAAGAAGTTAGTCAGGTATAAGCCATAATAAAAATAACTCAAGATTTTTTAATATTTATTTACTTTTTTTTATAAATATTTCAGCATGTTCTTTTAATCTTTCAAAAACATACACTCATACATGTCTTCAAAATAGGATATAGAATCCTGACAAAGTTTCTAAGAAATTTGACAAATGGAAAATGTTTCATTGAAAATAGATTTGATGACGTGTCTCACCATTCCAGGTTTCATCAGATCAAAAGCAAAAGAAATATGTGTAGATACTTAAATAATGTATCTTATTAGTTTTTCCCTAGGCTGTCATTTCTTGTGATTAAAGAAAAGTACTATGATTCATTATTTAAGCCTCTAGACAAATACACATTGCTTTTAGTTTTTGGATCTGATGAAGCCGAGAATGGCCAAATGCATAATCAAATCTATTTTCAATTAAATGTTTTCCATTTCTTATATATAAAGAATCTGTCAACACAATACCATCAATATTTCTACATGTGAAAATATTATCTTCAAACAAAGTAATTGTTGTATCCTTAAAGAAGGTTACAAACAGACAAAGGTGGTACTCAAGTGAAAGGAACAGCAACACGGGCAAAGATGAAAGAGAGGTTTATTGTAAAAGAGAATACACTACTGAAAGACAGGGAATCGGTTAGCAGAGTATTTAAATAATATTCCAATAGTTTCCATTATAATTATTTTATTTTTTTGCTAATCTTTTAGAATACTTACATTATTTGCATTGTTCAAACTGTTATCCAAATCTTTATTTTCATATTCACAATGTTTCGGTTGCTGTACACTCCAGCCTTCTTCAGGTGATATACTTTTGAATTTTGGACCAAAGCCCTTATTTCGTTCAACAGGGTAGATTGTTCTAGTTCCACATGCCATGTCTTTTTCTGGATATCTCAGTTTCAGTTATTTTCCTATTATTAATTCAACTCTCCAAGTTTTTGTTGAGTTCAATACCTACTGTGGCCAGGTATTGAACTCACAACTCTTTGGGTCAAATCACTGGATAACTTCAACCCATGCTTGTATCCACTGGGGATATCAGTGTATGAATTTTTAGGACTTATAAACCTAATGTCTCAGTTATCATTTTTTGCCAGAGCTCATATTACAATTTTTTGTTGTTATTGTTTTACTCTATCATTCTGTATTACTGGTTCCCATATTGTATACAAGTTTATGCTTGGCTAGCTTATATCACCTGAAGAAAGCCGGATGACTGAAACATTGTGATTATGACAAAGAAGAGGACAACAGTTTGAACAGTGTAAATAGTTATGTTTCTTCATCTCAGGAATATGGACCGACAATCTTTGAGAATTAAATTAAAAAACAAAAGTGGTCTGTGAGAGGTCATCTGGTGCAACTAGGATTTGGTTTAGTAATTTTTCATCAACAAGAAACTATAAGTGTACCTGAAAAACTATGTGTCCCATCAAAGTGTTATAATTTCATTTTTTTTTTCTCAAGGATCAAGAATGTAATTAACAAAATATACAGTACTCTACCCAAATAATAAACCAGAAAATATCTATGGTTTGACTAATAGAATTAAGTACTTTATCCAAAGATTCGAAAAAGTTGAAAATAGGTTAGTCTTGGAGAACGTGAATAACAAAATGAGTGATATAATTATTATACGGTATTAAAATCATTTCTCAGTGGTCATCTTGTTTGGCAATTTTCTATTAACAGGAATCTTTGTATATCTTGGAATGAAAAAACAGTCATACTAAGACAACCAAAGAATAACATAGAAAATTACCAAAAAGGTATAATTTATCAATTCCTTATTTGGATGTTTGGTGCTTATGGAACCCAACTATGCAAGCAAATGATTTACAATGTAAAATCTGCAAATGCGTATGTAAAAGATCTCAGCATTCTTTTCCAAAAGCTGAAGATGTATAAAAATTACGAAGAGCAGTACAAACCCACCACAATAACTGATTGTCCGACATTGAATATGAAGACTAAAACACACACCACTGTTGTCCTTTGGGATAGTGGTGCAATGGATAGAGGAGTTGATTAAATATGTGTTACTGTGGACCCGAGTTCAATCCCTGGATCAGGTAGTGGACAATAATAATGGACAAAATAACCCAATCAATGGATATCCTATATCAGCCAAAGCAATGGATAATTGATGATGGCCAAAAGGTACTCGACAGAAACAATGTATCTATAATGACATTTATAACAATGAAGATGTTTAGCAATAGTTCAAATTATAGTGAATATGCATTTGAAAACATGTTTTTTTGCTGGAAACTATTACACATGCCTCATATTTTTTTAATCTTGAGAAGGCTCTTTTGGACAAAGACATTGAAGAGAGTGCTGAAATAAACCAGCTGCATTGATTCTGAATGGAAAAGTTTAGGAAACAGTACAAGGAATTTAAATGTCACTTCCACTAGTTTTGTCTCTATCAATTACTTGTCAATACAAAAATAGTTTCAGCTTAAGTTTTTGTTTTAATTGTTTTCTTTCTTGAACTCACTTTGATTCAGATGAATGCATCTTAAAATTAATAAAAAGCATTTCCATTGTTAAAAATGAACATCTTGTCTTATTTTTTAGCTGCTTCTATGCACTGATTTTGTAGGTTATATGAGAACGAATTGATCCACTGAAGTTTCTAAAATCAACAGTTAAATAACAAGAAATTTGCCTCTAAAATCCACAGACTTAAGGCCATATCACGTTAGTTCTTATATGATCACCAAAGTAAAGCAACATCAAGCTTGGTCAGTACCTAGATTGGCGACTGCTCGAGAATACCAGATTCTGTAAGCTTGGATGTGCAGGTGGTGTAATGTATAACAGATCAGAATCGGAAATTGGAAAGTAGAGTTCCAATTCCAGTCAGGTTCATTATATTCATTTACATGCAAATACACTTGAGAAAGGTATGAATCCATCTCTTTATCTCCCAGCTATGGGTTAATTAGTAAGACTTGTATCAACAATATCATTATTATCTCCAAAAAATTCTTACAGTCTAAAATATTTTCTGGTTTAGAAAAAAAAATAAAAACCTGCAAAAGCCATAAGAAACAACTCAATCTAAAATCCCCAACACAAATAGTGAGGTAAAAATAACAGGTGACTTGTGTAAAACAAACACCTTTTAACCACGATAACTCTGACCTGTGATCAAAAAATTGTGAGTGGTCAAGAAAGGGATTATCCATGATCCTTGAGGATGTGGGTAATCATGGCTCTCCACAATTTTCCATCTTTTGTAGCTCTTATGTTTTCCATTTTAATAAGCCTCTCACTTCATTCTACCACTCATTTACACAAGCTTGTTAGATAGGTTACTTGCTGTTTTCATCTCCCTTTTACTTTTAATGTCTTGTGAGTACAAGTTTTCTAAACCTTTCCTCATTAGTTGTCCTAGAAATATTATTTCTTTCTTATTCTAAGTATAAGTGACATTTTTATTACCATTTTCCTTAACTTACATTGAATTAAATCAAAAAGAAGAAAAAATTTAGCAAACATGGACCTTTGTGCCTGCAAAAATCAGTGTGAAAAGGAGTTTTCCCCATGACATCACTTATTTTAACTACATTCACTCTTTGGCAATGTTTGTTGTTTCAAAAGCAATTATTGTAATAAAACCTAAACATATGATGAAAGCGAATGTATACATGTTTTTTTATTCTTGAGAATTTACAACAAAAATATTAAACACTATATATTAGATTGTTTATTTACAAGATTAATTTTTATTTACAACTTTTATTATCCATAAATTCTAATATCTAATACAATTGTATTAACACTAATTAATGAATGAATGCAATATTTATCATTTACTAATTTATATAGAAGTAAATATGAAAACAATTTTTTAATCATAAATTTATAAACATTTACTAAATTATTAAAATATGTGAACCAACTATAAGAAAATCCTTATTTACTGTTTGAATTGATTATTTAACCCAATAAGCAATATAATAGTGTTTATTCCTTTTGTTGTCAATTCTGATAAACAAAAAAAATGTATAAATTCACTTTCATATGTTTAAGTTTTATTCCAATTCTAAACATCATTTTTAAAACAATAAATATTGCCAAAGAGTGAAGGGAGATATAATAAAAATGGTGTCATGGAAACAACAATCCTTTTGATGTTCCATTTTTTTGTGGGAATAAAAGTTAGTGTTTGCTAAAAAATTAATTAGTGAGTAAGTATAGTCATTAAGCTTTAACATTCTGGAGGTGATTTTGTTTGCAAAGAAAGAAGTTTATCCTACAAGTGATACTGATGAATGAATGATAGTATGTTTGAATTTTACATTTGTGTTGTCATATCCTGCTATGGCAACAAAAAATGACCATGACTGAAATTAAGTAGTGCAACAATGCAGTGGAATGGAAAGTAGTGAATAATGTAGAGTGTTAAAGGTTAAAATTAATAAATTCCATGCATTTTGGATTCCTAGTTATGAATTATTTCAGAATGAGTTGAATAACGTTCTGAGGGGCATAATTCCTTTTATTTTATTTTTTAATGCTAGATAGATGGGCCATTCAACATCCAGAACAAGAAAGAAAAAATCTTTCAAATAAAACATACAAATACTTTGGCTTTTCTATCAAACACATCAGCAATAACAAACAAGTGATACTTCTGCCTAAATTCTGAGAGTAGCAGATACCCAAGCTAAAAAAGACAAAGAAATATGCCCGAAAGAACTTACTCAGCTCCCGAGGGTTTGGAAATGGAAACGGTTGATTCAGAGAGAAAATGGTGTCAGAAAATTCCATGTCTTCCATACTGAAGGGGAGATCTGCAGCTTCCTGGTTACTTGTCTTTCCCTGATAAGACCACTCAAACAGATCATTCGGGAAACTTCCCTGGTAAAATAAAGAAAAATTCCAATAACAGCATATCTAGGTTTGTTTTCTTAAAGCAGAAAAGACAGAGATAATATATAAAAATGTGTATACGCAAAAATTTCAGAAATAACTAAAATATACCTGTAAAAGTACAACATGAATAAAGACAAAAGGGAAATTTATCTTACCTGACATATTTCATCCTCTGATAGACTTTCATTGATAATGTCTATCAGAGGACAAAATGGATCAGCTAAGGTAATTTTTTTATATATATATATATATATATATATATATATATATATATATATAGGAAAAAAAAAAATATATATATATATATAAAGAAAGAAATAATGAATTTTTATCTATTAATCCAACATTTTTTTTTATATATTATTTTTAGTGGATACCCATATATAAGTAGATGCTCAGTTTGTTTTTAAACAGTATTTTATTTTCATCTACCAGCTTCAATAATCAAGAAATCAACAATGGATATATGAAACAGTGGTTTAAAAAAAAAAATTGTGTGTGTGTGTGTGTGTGTGTGTGTGTGTATAAATATATATATTTATTTTGCTGTGGACCCAGAATAGGTCCAAAAGAAAACTCGAACTCAGCAATTTAGTGAAAACATTAAAAAAAAGAACAAATACAAAAGTGTTGCACATCCGACTGACGGCAAAGTACAGTAGTCGACTTGTCAACTGTAGACAGCTCTCTTGAAAGGCATAATCTCCCCGTACATATAGTAATAGGACAAGTCCATTTAGTCCACAAAGGTAGGTCCCATAACATATATATATATATATATATATTCATGAATTATTCATACAAAAACAAATGCAAAGGTTAATGATTTAATTGGCGAGAAATCCATCGTCATAAAACAATTCAAATAATATACAAAAAACCCCGAACCTGTTATGAATGAAAAGATCCTTGTTTCTATAAATTTCTGCTGCATTAGTTCTTATTTTTACTACAAGCTTTCGTCTGTTCCTACAGACATCTTCAGGTATGGAATAGATGTTGTTCTTGTTTTTTCTCTCAGTAATAAGAGGACAACGAAAATATATGTATTGTTGTATCCGAAAAATGCTATTGGAAATGAGTTATTGTTTTTGGAGCGTGCAGTAGCAACGCTGAGTTTGATTTTAAATTTTACAGTTGTGCGTTCTTGTACAAATATGGTGATAAGCGAATTTTTTTTACTGGTAAATTTTCTGTCAAAGTGGCATGAACTATATTGTTCAATAATTACAGTAATGTCGCACTTATTATCCAAAAGTATATATATATATAATGCTCTTTTTTTTATATACAAATGCATCTATGATAAAGTTAAAATTTATAAATTCAAGACAATAAAAGACAAACAATAATAACTAATAATAAAATCGAACAATTGTAACAAAATACTGAAATAAGTCATGTGCAGAGGATTTGTTTTTATAACAGATTTTTTCCCCTTTTTCTCCATTGTGGATGATTTTCACTTTTTCATTGAAAGAAAAAACTTTAAAGATTCTGTTTGGCACATGTGAATTGACGGCATCACTACATTTGCACTTTCAAACCATTATTTAGTAAAACTTAGGAATTGTTTACTTCTCGGTATTGACTGTGAATAAATATATATACTGACTGTAAATAAACTGTATAAATTGATATAAGGGAAAACCATATTATAGCATGGCATCAATATACATGACAGGTTAGTAGCAGCTACAGATTGGAAACTGTGCAAATGACTTGGATTTAAGAATTACAACATTATACAATATAATGGATAAAATATTTGCTTTAACCATAGATCTTAGCAATCACTTCATATCTTTTTTCCCCACCTTTTCAATTAAAAGGACGAATTTTCAACTTCTTTTTGGCATATAAAAATTGCTTATTGCACTTTGGTCCCACTCTGTGATCAATAATTAAAAATGGCTTTGAACAAATGAAGCATGTAGGTCTTAGTGAGGACTGTCCTTCTTCAAAACTTGTGGGTTGGTGCTACAAAATTAAAAACAAAGAACTACATGAAATAAGAGAAACCACATCACTTGTGGACTACCAACAGCAGCAACAACTAAAATGGATAGCACATGTAACTTGAAGAGAAAATAATAACATAATCAAGATGCTGATGTTCCATGCTACTTCAAACAAAAGGTTAGGAAGGAAATCTTCGTCAGAACTGGAAAGAGAAATAACAGTAAACTTGAGAAACCTATTTTCTGGAAAAACTGTTTTAAGAGGAAGATTTTATAAATTTAAAATGAAAGTAGCTCTAGCTAGTCAGTCAGTGAAATGTCAAATATTTCCTTATAAGGAAATCAATAATATTAGCATTACTGCTAAGTGAAACTTTATGATGTGTCTATTTCTTTATTTGTAAGCTCTGATTAATCAACTGTTATGATATGTATAAAAATGTATGTCATCTTTGCAAAGAAAGCAAAGATGAAACACTAAGGCAGTTGTTCCCAAACAGTGCAATGCACCCCACACGGACAGTGCAATGCACCCCACAAGGGTGGTGGAAGAGGATAGTAGGCGAGGTAGAATGATTGAAAACAAATCAAAAGAAAGTTTTGAAAAATTCATATGCCAAAAATAAATATGATTTCAAAATATAATTTTTTTTATGGATTGCTTGTAATTGCATGCAGGAGTCCCAATATAAATAGTTATAAATAATCATTTACTGATTTTATCATTGTGATATTTTCACATTATAACAAGTATTAATATAGTAACTAGGGTCCACAAATTGGAGGAGAAAGTTATCAGTGATCATGTTCTGACTTCAAATCTGCAGTTATCTCCCTTTAATCCTCTCGCTGGATCTTCTTTGCCATAGGGCTACTTGTGCCTTTTTACCAGGACTTCCATTTAGGTGAGGCCCAAGCAAATTTTCATTCTGAAAATACTAACCAGAGAAAAAAGGTTTGGGACCTATTGTGCTAAGGATAAGACTGAATTTCCAATACTTGAGGGTACAATTATATAGTAAAATTTCTCTTGAAATGTTATCTGACCACAGGACAACCAGTTAGAGGGTTATGGGTAAAGAAAGGCAGAAAAAGATCTTGTTTTTCAACAAGTTCTAACAAATGATCTGTTTTAATCCAAAAAACTATAAGACAGTGGCTAGATGTTTCTGGCACACTATTATCTTCATAAATAGTAAGAGTATTCTTTGTATAAATAATACAACCCCCCAAAAAAAAAAAAAAACACCTAGTGAACAATGAAAAATTCTTGTCTGAATTTCCCACTTGTTACAATTGTGCATAAATTTATTTGGATCAGTTTTAACCTTTCTTGTTTTGTTTATCACATTTTAGCTGACGTACCCTGCCATCTTCCTTAAGTATTTGTCACATTCAATACCCTTTCAATGTCAACCAAAAAGATTATCTGCTTAACTTGGAGGCCATAAGTTCAATTCTTGAGTCAGGTAGAACAGAAAATATACAGTAGGGAGATAGATTGGCTTTTCACAAGAAAGAATTGACACGTTCTGATGATTTTTCCAGGAAAGTGTAGCATTGCAGCCCAGGCCAGGCACCAGGTTTGTTCTCAGGGTTCAGTTTCTTCCAGTCAAATATTTGTGGCTTAAAAAATATTTTGGCCAGATTGTTACTTACAAAATAAAAACATGTGATGACATAGCAGCGAGCAGTTCTCTGTCCCACTCTGGCCACCCTGTCTCTCCAAATTTTTCTGTGAGAAACCACTGTCTTATAGAAAACAATGTTCTTTGTCTTTATCTAAAAAAAGTCATTCATCAAGAACTCATGGTCTGGCATCACTCAGTGGCTTTCTTTATCAGAATCATTTGACCTGATTCTTGGGTGGTCCACTCCATTAAGCTAAACTTCTTTGCCAAGATAGATAATTACCAAAGTGATTTCTGTGACATGTTGTAGGTGGTCCTTAGCAAGATATCATCACTACAAAACGCACCAAGAAAGGAAAAAGAAAAACATTTGTTCTGAACAATAATAGAGATTACTAAACTAAATATAGGTGATATTTTATATCTCATGAGTCATACAAATGAATGTAATCTTATCTATTGAATTGGCCAAAATATTTGTTCAATTTTCTTTACAAGTGTCCATAGGTATTCATAGTTGGGATAAAAATAACATTGAAAATAAATAAATCCTCTAACAAGTGTTCCAAGGAATAAGACAAGATAAACCTTTCCAAAATGGAAAGTATGATCCGATATTTGAATGAAAGCAGAGATGGCACATATCCTGAATCCATCATAAAAATTCAGGATCTGGAATTAACAAATGCTAAACCCTTCAAAAACATTGGTGTATGGATCAGTTGTAACAAATTTGGTATAGCACTAAGGACAGATTCTCCCAACATTGCAAGTTGCTGAAAACAAAAAAATAAATAAAAATTTAATATATCTCTATCTATAAAAGGCAGGATGTGTGTGTGTGTGTGTGTGTGTGTGTGTGTGTGTGTGTGTGTGTGTGTGTAATAAATGCATGGCTGCAATTTTCGACGGATTTGCACCAAAATTTACATGCACATGCTCCAAGTTAATGGGAAGGCCAAGACTGACTTTGCATTTCTCAACTCCCATCGATAGTGGAAATAATTGATTTTTTCATGCTTCTATGGCAGTTTTCATGTAGTTTGCAGCCATTTTCTATTGGCCAGAGTGAGAGCCTATAGCTGGCTGCCACGAATAGGCAGGAAGATTCTATTGCCCAGTGTGAGAGCCAACAGCTGACTGACACGAATGTTAACTAGCATGCAAAAAAATCGATAGCTGCATTCGTCACAAGTGGGAAAAATTTAAATCTGCATGGCACTTTACTCCAATTGGCTCATTCTGGCTTGCTTAAACTCAATATTGATTCTGATTCCAAGAGAACTGGGTTGGGTATGAAAAAAAGTATTTGTTGTTAACATTCTTTTTCATTCAGTCTTTCCAGTTACGAGTCCTTTTTTTTAAAGCTGATCGTTTTGTGTTCATTTTGTTT